TTTTGAAAATTTTATATTATTGTACTCTCTAAAACTAACATTCAAATGCATCAATAACCTGGCACCAGAGCCACTAAGTTCATTTATACAGAGACAGACCAGCAACAGAGTCACCAGAAGTACATCCCACAACAACTGTGCAATCCCACACAGGAGAACCTCATTTGGTCAGTCTGCTTTCTCCATAAAAACGGCCAAACTGTGGAACTCGCTGCCCACTGACCTAAAAAACATATTAGAATTCAAGGACTTCACCTCAAAGCTCAAGCTGTGGCTGAAAACAAACCAATCATGCACCCATTTCTAAACCTGTAAACACTATTGTGTGTTTGTGTGAGTGTGCGTGTACGTGAGTGTGTGTGTGAGTGTTCTTGTTTGTGAATATTTTGTCCATATGGCTGTTATTGGTTGGGGGAATGTCTTAATTTTAGATCACTGTTGTAAATATGTGTTTTAGGGCTAGGCCTATTTTATTCATTCTGTATAATGTGTTGCACTGTAGGGAAAAGCTCAACCAGGGACAGGAGCTGAAAATTAGCATTAGCTATACACTCTGTATGTGTCGCATCAGCTGCATTTTCATAATGTAACTATGTATGACTACATTGTCCCTGTCAAATAAATGAATAAATAAAAATAAAATAAACAAAAAGATTTTCCAAGCTTTAAACATCTCAAGGAACACTGTGCAAGCAATTATATTGAAATGGAAGGAGTATCAGACCACTGCAAATCTACCAAGACCCGGCCGTCCCTCCAAACTTTCATCTCAAACAAGGAGAAGACTGATCAGAGATGCAGCCAAGAGGCCCATGATCACTCTGGATGAAAAAATAAAACAACAATCAACTACAAAATATATAAAAACAATCAAAAAGCAAGACAATTAGAAGTCATAGGAAAAATTACTTTGCAAAACTAATCACCCAAAATAAAAATAACCCTAAAATCCTCCTTTCAACAATCGACACCATTTTAAACCCTGATTTTAGTATGTCTCTTTTAACCCCCACAGACTCCCTCTGTGAGGATTTTGCAGTCCACTTCACGGGGAAGATTAATACAATCAGATGTAACATTTTATCCAACCATACTACTGTTTTTAACACATCTGATTGTTTGTCTTCGCCAGAGGAAACACTGGACAGTTTGTCCTGGTTGATGCTGAGATGCTTGATAAAGTTTTCTCCTCAGTGAGGCCCACCACTAGCTGGATTTGCTCCATTTAGCTCCGTGAACAGGTGGGAGGGGTTAACTCCTTTTGCAGATTGAAACGATTGGATCCGAGTTTACTGTGACGTATGTAATGCGCCCGAGTCTGTTGTTAGCATTTAGCCTAGCCATCTCCTTTGCTGCTAACGGAGCCCGTGGGGAGTAGCACCACAATCTTGACCAGTGATTACATTTGCTAAACATTCCTCTTGCTCCTGCTTCAGTTTCTTCATAGAACCAGACTGGATTACTTTACTATCGCATTCTTCGCCATTGCCAAACCACAACCTGCCCGTTCGGCGCAAACTCTTGACGTCACCGGCACCGACCTACAACACCGGCCTTCCGTGCTCTCTTGAGTAGCCGGTCGAAATACGACCGATTGTATTCGCTAACACAGGGACCAGACCCAGACCGTTACATGCAGTGAAATGATGATTGAGTGGAGTGTACGGATGGTTATGGCCAGGCTAGCCCTCCACATGTCTTTTAGATCCTGTCCCCACCCCATTTTTTAAGTCATTTTTAGAGAGGAGCTTGTAAACTTGATGAATTGCTCTCTTCAGACTGGGGTCTTTCCTGCAGCCTTCAAAGCGGCTGTGGTGAGACCCCTTCTGAAGTAGAGCAATTTGGATTTTAAAGATTTAAACAACTACAGACCAGTATCCAACTTACCATTTTTGAGAACAATTTTAGAAAAAATAGTTTTTATTCAGCTCAATGCCTTTTTAAACGACCAAAACGTTTTAGAAAAATTTCAATCAGGTTTTAGGATGAACCACAGCACAGATTGCTCTTTTAAAGATTTTAAATGATTTTAGATTAAATTATCATTCTAAAAAGGTGACTGTGTTGGTTTTACTGGATCTTAGCGCTGCCTTCGACACAGTAGACCACACCATTCTTTTATCACGCCTACAACACCTCGGCCTCTCTGGTGCTGTCCACAAATGGTTCACTTCTTATTTAACAGACAGATCCTTCATGGTAAGTTTGGATACCTGCTCCTCTCAGGTCCATAAAATCACATGTGGTGTGCCCCAGGGTTCCATTTTAGGTCCAGTCCTTTTTAACCTGTACATGCTCCCTCTTGGCGGTGTCATCAGGAGACATGGAATTAACTTCCACAGTTATGCAGATGATACTCAGCTGTACATGATGATGATACACAGCTGTACATCTCCTGATGATACACAGCTGTACATCTCCTGATGATACACAGCTGTACATCTCCATGTCTCCTGATGATACCAGGCCAATGGATGCTCTTTTTAACTGCATTTTAGACCTGAAATCCTGGATGGCAGAAAACTTTCTCCAGCTCAACCAGGACAAAACTGAGGTTTTAGTCCTCGGTCCTGAGGCCCAGAGAGAGAAACTTTTATCAAAACTCCAATCACACTCTTTTAATCCATCATCACAAATGAAAAACCTGGTCGTAATCTTTGACTCTGAGCTGACTTTTGTTCCTCACATCAAGAATATCACAAAAATAGTTTTTTATCATTTAAAGAACATTGCCAGAGTCCGCCCCATTCTCTCTCGGGGCAACACGGAGACGCTGATGCTTATATCACCAGTCGCATTGACTACTGTAATGCCCTGCTCTCTGGTCTTTCTAAAAAGAACATTTCAGGTTTACAATTACTCCAAAACTCTGCAGCACGTGTCCTGACTAACCTGCGCTCCTCCGGCAGCAGACTCCTAACCATCCCCAAAGTCAGGACACACACTCACGGTGAGGCATCTTTCCAGCACTACGGCCCCCGTCTCTGGAACAGTCTGAGGAGGAGCTCAGGGCCGCAGAGAACGTTCATATTTTTAAAAGCAGACTCCTTTTTAGATTAGCTTTTGATTAGTATTTATTATTCCATTTTATCTATTCTATTTATCTATTATTATTTATTATATTGTTATTGCTATTATTCATGTATTGTGTGATAGTTCCTTTTAGTCTCACATTTTTTGTGTTTTATTTTTTTTTTGTATTGTTTTAGTATACCCAGTGTTTCCTCTGGAGGAGCCCTCTGCACTGGGAGCAGGTGTGGCTGCGGGGGTCGGACTCTTGGGCCTGGTGGGAGCCTGGAGCCTCGGTTTCGTGTCTCCTCTGGGTCCTGGGGTCTGACTCTTGGGCCTGGTGGGGGCCTGGAGCCTCGGTTTCGTGTCTCCTCTGGGTCCTGGGGTCTGGCTCTTGGGCCTGGTGGGGGTCTGGAGCCTCAGTTTCATGTCTCCTCTGGGTCCTGTGTCGTCCCCTGTGGCTACGGGCGGCTCTCTGCTCCTGGTGCAGACGGCTCCTTGGATGACGCTTCTTCAGCTGGTTGCATCTGAACCCTGCCAAGTCTCTCATCATGGTTTTTACTGTTTTACTGGTGTGTGTGTGTGTGTGTGTGTGTGTGTGTGTGTGTGTGTGTGTGTGTGTGTGTGTGTGTGTGTGTGTGTGTGTGTGTGTGTGTGTGTGTGTGTGTGTGTGTGTGTGTGTGTGTGTGTGTGTTCATAAGAGCGTGTGTGTGTTTGTCTGTGGTTTGGGGTGGGTCTGTTGGGTGGTCTGGGGGAGGGGTCTTGGGTCGGCTGGATTGTTTTTAACCAAACTGTAAAGCACTTTGTGTTGCATCTTTTGTATGAAAAGCAAATTTGATTGATTGATTGATTGATTATCACAAGTATGAGGAGAACAGCTGTGTAGCAAAACCAGCTGAGAGACCAGAGAGAGACCAGAGAGAACCAGAGACCAGAGTGAGACCAGAGTGAGACCAGAGTGAGACCAGAGTGAGACCAGAGTGAGACCAGAGTGAGACCAGAGAGAGACCAGAGAGAGACCAGAGTGAGACCAGAGTGAGACCAGAGAGAGACCAGAGAGAGACCAGAGAGAGACCAGAGAGAGACCAGAGAGAGACCAGAGAGAAACCAGAGGGAGACCAGGGAGAACCAAGAGAGACCAGTGGCCACAGCTAAAAAAAAAGTAATACTAGTGATGGGTCCAGCAACACTGATACACCGGCGCATGTGCCGAGTTCGTTTAGCAAATACCCGTATCAACGCTTTAAGAAAAAGCCACGTGACTGATACAGCCGAAGTGTTGCTTGTCACCAACTCGGCAAACTGTGTTTGAAGGTTCTGCATCGGCAAGTGTCACTGGGATGAAGCACTCTCAGAAAACAAATACTGCCCTTTCAAACAGGAAGAATCCAGCATCAAAATGGAGCCCACCACCGAAAGAAAGTATTCTGTGTGGGATCATTTTGACTTTTTAACAGCAAATAGGGTAATGTTTGTATTTCATGTTTCACGCTTTATCTATAATCGATAATTAATTCTCAATGTTTAGGCGTTTTAAGACAAAGCATGATTTAAATACACCCAGATTAACTAAAGTCTGTGCAGTTACCTAAAATTAAATTTTAATGCTGCATTTCTTTTTCATAGTGTAACCGGGTGGTGGTGTAGTTTTTAACTGACTTTCATACAGTACCAGCAACGCCATAAGAATGAAAGCACACAGGTAAGATTTATGGAAAAGACTGAGGCAGATTAACATTTGCCTTTTTATTTGTACTAAAGCTAATGAATAATTCAGATATAGAGTATAGCAGTTTGATTCAGTCCATGTTGACAAGGCGGCGCACAAATCCAGCCACCACAAATATCTGCTATGATAAAGGAAAACAAAAAGGCAAGGCGGCCGCTCCTCTCCTCAGCACCAGCAAGACATCAGCATTAAATGCAGGGCACGTAGAGTGCAGGAGGCTGACGCACCCTCCTCAGCTGCACTGAACAGGAGCTGCGGCGGGATGGCAGACATCCCCATCTTACGTGGCTGTGGGGCAACATGGGACAACACGGAGGTTCACGAACCGGACGCACAGGAAGTGTGCAGACCAAGACCGAAGGAGACACACCAATGGCTTTTAAAGCCTGCACACTACCGCCCCCTTGTGGCCCCGTACTGCCACAATAGCAAAGTACAGTGGTATTTACTCACAAATTAGAATTTTGATGTGAGGTGGTCTGATTCATTTTTTTTAATATTTATATTCTCGAAAGTTGGGGAGATCGTGTCCAAAAAACCCAATAGACTGAATGGAAAAAAAAACGTTGTACATACTAATAAAAATATATAAAAACACTCAAAGACATTTTGCTCATTTTGCTTTCTCGCAAGGTCAAATAATACCACAGAAAATGCAGAAATGTAAATTTGTGTACAAACAAGTATGTAAAGGTCAATGAATCAGTGAGTTGTATGCAATGAATTTATAAGATCCACCAGACGTTGGTTTAGAGCAGCACAAGCAACACTGGGATGCCCCGAAACGATACGTGAGGTTTCGATCACTTATATATATATATATATATATATTATATATATATATATTATATTATATAATATATATATTATATTTCTGGTGACTTCCTGTATCCGGTGAGCGTGTTTCTTGACTGCTATCACTCTGCTCTCTGTTTGCACAAACACATTACAAATCCACGTATTGTACACCAAGCTAACTGTGTAAGCACTCCGAGTCAGCTGTACTGTAGCTGAGGTTTAGGTAGCGGTTGTTTGTCTGGTCTCGGAGTCTGTTGTGCGGGCCCGGATCCGTACTAGCTTAGCCTAGCCTAGCTTAGCCTAGCCTAGCCGCTAACTCGCTACTATGGCGGCTGCTGTCTCTCCCTCAATCCTTTGCTGCTCGAGTTGCCATATGGCGAGTCTAAACCCTGGATCCTTCTCTGAGGGTAGTGATAGATGTGTGAAGTGTAGTGTAGTCGTAGCTCTGGAATCCAGGGTCAGTGAGTTAGAGCTGCGTCTCCGAGCACTGGAGTCTCGAGCTAGCGCTAGCATTAGCTACAGCCAGGCCGTATCCTCAGGGGCAGCGGAGCGCAGCTTTAGGGAAAGGCAGAGGAGAACTAGCGAGCCTAGCCTCCCAGCCCGTCCTCCGCAGCTGGGACAAGACCAGGATAGTGATGGCTTTGTGACTGTTCGGAGAGGGCCACGTGTTGTTGGTAGTTTCCCCATTGGGCCTCCTCCTGTTAGCATTTACAATCGCTGGGACGCTCTGTCGGGGAAGAAGGCCCCACTGAGAGAGCCGCTGAGAGAGCCGCTGAGAGAGCCGCTGAGAGAGCTGCTGAGAGAGCTGCTGAGAGAGCTGCTGAGAGAGCTGCTGAGAGAGCTGCTGAGAGAGCTGCTGAGAGAGCCGCTGAGAGAGCCGCTGAGAGAGCCGCTGAGAGAGCCACTGAGAGAGCCGCTGAGAGAGCCGCTGAGAGAGCCACTGAGAGAGCCGCTGAGAGAGCCGCTGAGAGAGCCGATGGAGTCGCTGATGCGCTGGTAATTGGCTCCTCTATTGTTAGAGGTGTTAAGATCCCAGGAGCCACTGTTCGGTGCTTCCCTGGGGCCAGGCTTGGTGATATTGAAGGGAATCTGAGGCTCATGATGACCCACAAGCAGCGTTTCCGTCGAATTGTTATTCACGCGGGTGGTAATGACGTTCGGCGGAAACAGTCCGAGGTGTTGAAGCTGCAAGTCGCCGCGGTGTGTAAGCTGGCTAGCACAATGGCCGACACTGTCATCTTCTCTGGGCCCCTACCTAGCACTAGCAGTGCAGAAGCATTCAGCAGACACTCGGCTTTCAACCGCTGGCTGTCTGGCTGGTGCCCTCGAAGTGGTGTTGTTCATGTTGACAATTGGAGTGCCTTTTGGGGCGGCACGGTGGCTGAGTGGATAGCACTCTCGCCTCTCAGCAAGAAGGTCCTGGGTTCGAATCCCGGTCGGACCAGGGCCTTTCTGAGTGGAGTTTGCATGTTCTCCCTGTGTCTGCGTAGGTTTCCTCCGGGTACTCCGGTTTCCCCTACCACTAAAAATATGTCCAATAGTTCTAGCATGTGCCTCCTGTACTGGCGACCCCGCTCCCATCTCTGTGTGGAGTGAGAGACAAATGCCCAAAAAAATTAACAATTGTAAACCGCTTTGAGACTCAGATCTGCAGTGAAAAGGCGGTATATAAATAAAGATTACTACTACTACTTACTTACTTTTGGGGAAAGCCCGGTCTCATCCGCTCGGATGGTATCCACCCAACGTTGGCGGGTACATCCCTTTTGGCTAAGAATTTGGCCCTGGCTCTAAACTGTTCTGCTCGGCTCAAATGACGGTGCAGAACTGAGGCCCGGGTGCAGAGCTGCTCTGCCACAACCGCTGAGCCCCCATCTGTTCAGTTACTAGCCTCAGAGGCTAGTCAGATTGAAACTGTGTGTGCATGTGTGTGTGTGCCTGTGTGTGCTCAGTTACTAGCCTCAGAAGCTAGTCAGATTGAAACTGTGTGTGCATGTGTGTGTGTGCCTGTGTGTGCTCAGTTACTAGCCTCAGAAGCTAGTCAGATTGAAACTGTGTGTGCATGTATGTGTGTGCCTGTGTGTGCCTGTGTGTGCTCAGTTACTAGCCTCAGAACCTAGTCAGATTGAAACTGTGTGTGTTCCCCGCTTGAAGTCTAAAGCACTATATGCGAGGAAATCTGACCTAGGTGTCAGACACAGTAACTTAATAAAAGTTCAGACAGACAGAAATAGTTCTAGCGGTAGGGTTGTTAAATGTGGTTTAATGAACGTCAGATCAATCTCGTCTAAATCGCTTCTCATAAACGAACTTATTATAGAAAGGGCTTGGATCTGTTAGCGCTCTCGGAGACTTGGCTCCAACAGGACGAGTACGTTAGATTGAATGAGTGCACTCCTCCGACGCATGTTAACTACCAGAAAGCCAGAGCTACAGGTCGCGGCGGTGGTGTTGCGATTATATCACACACCAACTTGGTTCTTAGTCCCAAAACCAACAACGCTTTTCACTCGTTTGAAAACTTAACACTTTCAATCACCTGTCCTGGGTGGAGAAAACAAAAAGCAGTACTATTTATAGTTTTATACCGACCTCCTGGTCCTTACAGCGAGTTCCTAACAGAATTCTCTGACTTCATTTCAAACCTAGTTTTGGAATGGGAAAACATAGTTATAACTGGAGACTTCAATATACATGTGGACGACAGCACTGACAGCTTAAACAAAGCTTTCAGCGCCGTACTAGATGGTGTTGGTTTTACTCAGAATGTCGAGGAACCTACTCACATTCATAACCACACCTTGGACCTTGTCCTGACCTACGGCTGTGATGTCTCCAATGTTGACATCCAGCGTCAAAGCTCGTTGCTGTCTGACCATTTCTTGATCACGTTTGATCTCGCTTTGGAGGACTTTCCTGTCCCGCAAGATAAAACCATAATGAAAAGAACCTTAAATGATAAATCTATCACAAGGTTCAAAGAACTAATACAGCCTATGTTGAATACTGCTGCAGGTGAACCTGTTCACAGCAGCTGCAGTCCCTCAGTCATTGACCAAACGGTGGACAACACTATGGAGTCTTTAAAATCTGCATTAAATGCAGCAGCTCCTTTAAAACAGAAAACCATTAGGATTAGATCATCGTCGCCCTGGTACAGTGTTCAACTCCACACTTTAAAACAGGACGTCAGAAAATTGGAGAGGCTATATCGCCACTCCCACTCGGAGCCTGTCCACAGGGAGTGGAAAGCAGGTCTCCGAAACTACAAGAAGGCCCTTCGCGGGGCTCGAACTCAATACTATTCAACTTTAATAGAAGCGAATAAAAACAACAGTAGATTTTTGTTTGGTACCGTCGCTAAACTCACAAACTGCCATAGCGCAATCGAGCCTAAAATTCCAAGCTCACTGAGCAGTGTCGACTTTCTCCACTTCTTTAATAATAAAATTACATCCATCCGTGACAAACTGGAGGAGGTTACTCCTGCTGTTGGTAGTGGACAGGCTGAAGCGGCATACGTGACTTCCCACTTAGACTCTTCAGTGGGCCTTGATAAATTCATGGCTGTGAGCCAAGCAGAGGTGATCTCTGTGGTCACATCCTCAAAAGCCTCAACTTGCATGTTAGACGCAGTCCCGACATGGCTCTTCAAAGACATACTTCCTTTGATAATTGAGCCTATCGTAAATATAATAAACGCATCCATACAATGTGGCTATGTCCCACAAGCTTTTAAAACCGCGGTAATCAAACCCCTTCTGAAGAAAACAAACCTGGACCCAGAAATACTTACAAACTACAGACCGATCTCAAACCTCACTTTTATATCTAAAATCCTGGAAAAACTTATAGCTGAGCAGCTCCGCTGCCACCTGCAGGAAAATGATATGTTTGAAGTCTTTCAATCAGGATTCAGAGCTCATCATAGCACTGAAACGGCACTAGTCAAAGTCACAAATGACTTACTACTAGCTGCCGATAATGGACAAGTGTCAGTGCTGGTCCTACTGGACCTTAGTGCTGCATTTGACACAATAGACCACAGCATTCTACTGCAGAGGCTAGAATGTGATATAGGTCTTAGAGGAACAGCCCTTGGCTGGTTTAAATCCTATTTATCAGATCGATATCACTTCGTCAATGTGAATCAGGACTCGTCGCCTTATTCTGGAGTGGAATTCGGTGTGCCGCAGGGTTCGGTACTCGGACCGATTCTTTTTACTCTCTACATGCTGCCACTGGGAAACATTATTAAAAAGCATGGAATTAATTTCCACTGCTATGCAGATGACACACAGCTTTATCTGTCGATGAAGCCTAATCAGACAGATCAGCTAGAAAAGCTCAGTGCCTGCATAAAGGACCTTAAAATGTGGATGACTCTTAACTTCCTACTTCTCAACCCGGAGAAGACAGAAGTGATCCTACTCGGTCCGAAGCGCCTGCGTGACTCCCTCACTAACCAGATGGTTACTCTCGATAATGTCAGTATAATACCCAGTAACACTGTGAGGAATCTTGGAGTCATTTTTGACCAAGAACTCTCCTTCAAGGCTTATATAAGCCAAGCAACTAAAACGGCGTACTTCCACTTACGGAACATCGCTAAAATTAGGAATTTCCTTCCTAAAAGTGACGCGGAAAAACTCATTCACGCGTTTGTCACCTCAAGGCTCGACTACTGTAACGCTTTACTGGCAGCGTGCCCTAAAGCCTCTTTGAAGAGCTTCCAGCTCGTTCAGAATACAGCAGCTAGGATCTTAACAGGTACCAAAAGGAGGGAGCACATAACTCCGGTGTTAAAATCACTCCACTGGCTCCCTGTGGAGTACAGAATAAAGTTTAAAATCCTACTCTTAACATATAAAGCCATAAATGGCTTGGCTCCCTCTTATCTCCAAGACACGTTAGTGTCGTATCAACCAGATCGAGCAAAACGCCAGACGTCTGGTGGTCCCTAAGGTCTCAAAGGTCACTGTTGGTGGCAGAGCATTTAGCTACCAAGCTCCTTTACTGTGGAATCAGCTTCCCATTTATGTTAAGGAAGCAGATACGGTCTCCACATTCAAGGCCAGGCTTAAAGCACTTTACTTTAATTTAGCATATAATTAGGTAATATATAATATGTAGTGTATATATTATATATATATGCTGTATTATGTTATATATTATGTTATATATTATTCAATAATGTATTGTGTTATGTTGTATATTATGTTATATATTATGCTGTATGTTATTCTTTATTCAAGGCTAGGTTTAAAACAGTCCTCTTTAGTTTAGCATATGGCTAGGAAGGTAAGACTCGGAGAAGGTTAAACTCCTCAGAGTGTTAGTCAAGCTGCATAGGGAGTCAGTTTGCTGGGAGAAGTATGGTAACTTGAGCACTATCCTCTCCTCCTTCCTACTTTATCTACTTTATCTGTTTAGCATTTTTAGGATTCTGACTGTAGTTTGTTCATTGCTATTCACCCGTTGTCCCATTGTCTGTTTCATGGTACGATGACGGGATCTCTGAGCCTGGCCTCCTCCATCTACACCTGCGGACTGCCCCGCCCGACCCGCCTGGGAGTGCTTCAGTCCTGCACCTGTCCACGTTCAGCGTCCACTGGTCCACGTTCTGTAGCTAGCTTAGGTCCTAGATCATTAGTCTGTCCGTCCGGAGGAGCGGATCCCTTTCTCATATGGGTCTCCCTCCCTGTGGGTTTCCCTAGTTCTCCCCAAGGTTTCTCACTTTTTCCCACTGGGTTTTTTAAGAGTTTTTCCTTGTCGATGCAGGAGGGTCTTGTTGGACAGTTAGTGTCCAACAGAAAGGATTGGTGATGATCAGGACACTTTAGCATTCTACAACATGTATGGACATTTTCTTCTGTGTGTGCTTTATATTCTTCATGTGTTTTAACTGTTGATTCTCTGACCTGTGTTGGTGATTTCAATGGTTTTGTTAAGTCCTCTGAGATGACTTCTGTTGTGACCTAGGGCTATACAAGAATAAATTGTATTGTATTGTATTGTATTGTATTGTATATATATAATATATATATTATATATATATATTATATATAATATATATATATTATATATATATAATATATATATATATATATATAATGTATATATATATGTATGTTTAACATAATTGGTTTTGTTTAGCTGTATTTGTTGGATTTATTCAGGTTCCCTAGTTTCGTTGTTTGTATTAACTCTCGCTGGATATCAAATAAATAAATACATGTGTCTTACCTGTTGTTGGTAGATCCTCTCTCTCTGCTCTCTGCTCCTTCCTTTGAGTTGGTACAACTTCCCTGCATCTTTTATAGCGATGTGAGTGAGTCAGAAAGGGTGTGTCCAATTGCATCTTTCTCCCATTATAAAACTTATATGAATGAATGAATGAATACTTTATTTTGAGCCATGTCAGACAAGAACAAGGAACAGCAACAAAACAACTGAATAGAAAAAAAAACAATAAAACAAATAAACAATAACCCCATACACAATGTTTTGTTTCATTAACAAAAAGTCAGCTCGAAAAGGAGTGGGAAGAAGTTAAGACTTTTAAACTCCCACCCCCTATTTATTATTCTATTTTAATTAACTTAAATTATGTGGTTGCTATAGCTTAGCTTAGTCAGTGGTTTATTTACAGTTATGCAACATTCAAGTTAATATGCCCTTGATTTATACAGTATATGTATAATATGTTTATATTCTTGTTACTTTAATATCTTATATGCCTTTAAGTATCACACTAATCATAGCGTCATCATCATCACCACATATCCATATAATTTTCATGTTTATAATTTTCATTATCATGTATTTTGTATATATCAATTAAATAGGATTATAGAATATTGTGTATACTATTTAATAAATGTATTACTAATTACTAGAGTTATACGTGAGTTAAATTTGATCATTGGTGCTGATGGGCGCAAGCTTGTATTTAGATGGTGTTTTATTTATAAAGGGAGTCTCTGCGTCCACAGATCGGCCTCTAGAGGGAGCAGCCTCCAGAGGGAGCAGCCTCCAGAGGGAGCAGCCTCCAGAGCAGCCTCCAGAGGAGCCTCCAGAGGGAGCAGCCTCCAGAGGGAGCACCAGAGGGAGCAGCCTCCAGAGGGAACAGCCTCCAGAGGGAGCAGCCTCCAGAGGGAGCAGCCTCCAGAGGCCTCCAGAGGAGCCTCCAGAGGGAGCAGCCTCCAGAGGGAGCAGCCTCCAGAGGGAGCACCAGAGGGAGCAGCCTCCAGAGGGAACAGCCTCCAGAGGGAGCAGCCTCCAGAGGGAGCAGCCTCCAGAGGGAGCAGCCTCCAGAGGGAGCAGCCTCCAGAGGGAGCAGCCTCCAGAGGGAGCAGCCTCCAGAGGGAGCAGCCTCCAGAGGGAGCAGCCTCCAGAGGGAGCAGCCTCCAGAGCAGCCTCCAGAGGGAGCAGCCTCCAGAGGGAGCAGCCTCCAGAGCAACCTCCAGAGGGAGCAGCCTCCAGAGCAGCCTCCAGAGCAGCCTCCAGAGGGAGCAGCCTCCAGAGGGAGCAGCCTCCAGAGGGAGCAGCCTCTAGAGGGAGCAGCCTCCAGAGGGAGCAGCCTCCAGGAAAGGCAGCCTGTGAGCTGCAGATCTTTGCTACGTGTCCGAATCTGTGCATTAAAAGAGAAAGTATGTGGGGGTCCTCTGCCAGAGGGTTCCTCCAGCAGCAGAGCCCCCTGCCTACCCTGTACTTTGAGTTCTGTGAGTTCTGTGAACATGCTCAAATTGTAATCTCTGGCTACCGTCAGCACCAATACTTCAACCAGGATTCATGTATCTCTTTTCCATTAATAGATGATGGATTGACGCCTGTAAAAAAAAAAAATAAATCTATAACAATACAAAAATAGTGACAATCAAAAAAATACCTTAATAACCCCAATAAATGCCCTAGTATTGACACATCATATTATTATTATTATTAGACCGTATTATACAATAATAATTATAATAGAAGAGTATATCATTATTTTATATATTGTTATATTAAATTAACTTATTTTTAGACTTGCAGACATTGTTTTTCAGGGGTAGGATCCACATCTTTCTAATCTCTACTCTACTGTATAATTACTCTCTACTCTACTCTACTGGATTGCGTTTCCATTACACTGTAGTTATACTGTATATGTACCTGTATGCATAGTGCATATAGGTTCCTCACAGCACCTGTAGAACGCTCCAATGATTTGAATGTCATTTTGGACATTTTCGGACACATTTGCAGAGGCTCTGGTAATGGATTTGGTTCAGTTTATATTTGGGTCACTCACCGCCGATGTTCACAATTGTGTAGTTCCAGAGAGTTCTAATGTTGAAGTAGCTAGCTGTTACTAGCCTAGACACGTCACGGCGAAACCTTTAGGAACTAATTTATGTACAATTTTATAGACAATTGTAGAAGAAATGCAAAATGTCCATGAGTTGGGACAGGATTACCCCTTAACTCAAAGCACTTATGAAAGATGACTTGACTCTAACGGAGAATGTCATTACTAAAATCTGTGATTGTATTAAGGACTCAGATCTGTTCTCTGCTGTTCAAAAATACATTCAAATACGTATAACCTGTAAAAGGAAAGTCTGCTTATTACATACCTGTGATAGATACATTAAAAGGTTTGTTGGAGTCTGAATTATGGAAAATTATTTGTTACTCAACAGTCTTGTGAAACTAAGTCAGAACTGTGGGACATAACTGATGGACAAAACTTTAAGCCTAACCAGTTCTTCAATGAGAATCCTGTATGTCTGAAGCTAATTCTACACCAGGATGCGTTTGAAATAGTAAATCCCCTGTCAAAAAATGTGGACTCCCTTGGTCTACATAAAGGGAGTCCAAAATGTGTTGTTGGATGACTCAGATAGTAAAAGAGTTCTTGTGCTGAGCTTTAACATGAGAGGTGGATGGGCGAAGAAATCAATCCTGTTCATTCATTCATTCAATCATTTTCTACTCGTTATTAATCCATTTCAGGGTCGGGGGTGGCAATCAGAAGAGCATTGGCCTTTGAGCCTGAAGGACGTGGGTTCAATCTCCTCACGAGACCTTCTCCAACTGTTCCCACTCATGTCTGCTGTCGTTGTGTCCTTGGGCAAGACACGTAACCTCACATTGTGTCACCGCTGACGGGGAGCAGCAGCCATCTTCCTGTGGACCCACCACCTGCTGGAGGATCATCAAGGGACTGGCGCTATGAGCAATCCAGTTCAGTATAACAATATTTTGCACACGTAATTAAAGCAATACTGTAGAAAAAAGTGTTGCGATTTTCAGTTTACTCTGGTAATTTACATCTGAGGTTTATGTTCCTCTATGATGTCTGCTTGTTGTGACTCTATCTGTTGTATTTGAATAATGTAAGTGACGCTGGGAGCTCACCTTTCATGTGAGAGTCGTCTATTCAAAGGATATTAAAAAAATATCCTGTGTCCTGAATGTGGCACTTCCCTATTGTTTGCTTCAGTTCATGTGCAGCCCATAATAAATATTTATTTTCCTCATTTCCGTAATGGCTTTGAATAAGGGACATGAATCATAATATATCGCAGAATCAAAACGCGATACTTAATGTAACGCAGTAATATTTAAATGCGTCCAAAATATTGCAACACTATTGAATCGTCACATTTTGGCCAAGTGCCACGTCTACCAAAAACCCCAGCGTACAGACTTGTCACAACTGTATTGTATGGTTATTGTGAGTATGTATGCAGCTTTGAACAAAATAAATATTCTAAATGCATTTATCACTGAGAGTAGCAACTGGTTGTGGAATCTAATGGGGCTCCAAAAAAGAACAAAAAATAGATAATCAAAACTCAAATCACACAATTCAAATTCTATAGAAACTCAATGCCATTTTGAACTTTTTGGACAGTGTTACAGTGCGTACATTGTGACACCAATGGAAAGAGAAAGGCGTGCTCTTCCTATGCAGTGAAAGTAGTCGTGGAAGTAGTCATGAAACAGCAGCCGGGGACAGAGCGCTGTGTTCAGGGACAGCCCCGAATGTGAGACACACACCGCTTTAGTCACGGTACAGTTTCAAATGTCAAAATCCCCCTCCGTAACCCTAACCCCCTAACCTCCAGAACCTCCTGCTTTAATTGTTTGTATATTCTCGTGCAGTTCCAGTTGAAAGTCATCTGATAGCAGTGTGTCAGTAGTGAACAATTTTAAATAAACAAGATGTCGACACTAACCCAGGCTGTAGATTCAATATTGGCCTCCCCAAGTTTTCTCAGTTTTTCCTTAGGGTTTCTGAGTGGGTCTAAGGACAGTGATGATCCAGGATATTTATTAACATCTCTTCACATAACATTTATGATATCCCATTACTGTATGTTATCCCTCTTCCATCGCTCCCTGTCCCACCTGGAGAAACCCGGCTCCACTGTGAGGATCCTCTTCTTTGATTTCTCCAGCGCCTTCAACACCATCCAGCCGAGGCTTCTCAGGGACAAGATGGAGACAGCTGTAGTGGACTACGACCTGTCCCAGTGGATCCTGGACTACCTCACAGACAGACCCCAGTTTGTGAGAACCAGGGACTTTGTGTCGGAGGTCCTGACCTGCAGTGTGGGGGCCCCCCAGGGAACTGTTCTTGCGCCGTTCCTCTTCACCCTCTACACTGCGGACTTCAGACACAACACGGACGGTTGTGTTCTACAGAAGTTTTCTGACGACTCCGCCATCATCGGACTCAGCTCCGAGGACGATGACGCAGAGTACAGAGGAGTTATACGGGACTTTGTGGACTGGTGTCAGCGGAACCACCTCCTCATCAACGTGAGGAAGACCAAGGAGATGGTGGTGGATTTTGTGATGGCAATCTGCTTGTGACTCGGGGACGCCAACTCACCCCCCCCTGCTGCTCTATCCAGCTAACCTGCAGGAAGGAGCCAGTCCTTCCCGCACCGCCAGACAATGATGCAAATCACTGTCTCACCCCTGTCCCTTTCGCATCTGTATGCCTGCCTCTCTACATCCTGCATGACCATTGTCTGTCTGTTCGCACCTCCATGCCCTGTGTCTGATTGCCTCACAACAGGGGATGGCGCCAACGCTCCCTATGCGCCTCCTCACCGGTGGCCCCCTCCCATCTGTTGTGGGCGTGACTGTCCTTCATGCGTTGTCTATGTAAACAGGAAGCCGGGGCTCTGCGAGCAGAGCTGGGTATGCTGCTGCCTTTTGGATATGCTAGCTCTCCGCACGTGCGTTACAATAAACTTACGCTCCTGATTTAAGACAAATACTTTTGGGCTTTCTCCTTGTTTTGGGGTATGTAATTCTATAACAATTTGGCGTTGCTGCCATGTCTTGGCATGGATCCTTTCGGCGGGGACGAGCGGCCGCGTTTGGCCGACCTGGAAACAACACCAGCCTCTTCTCTATTTGGAGACAAAGGAGGGCGCGCTCGTCCGCGCATGGAAGGATTCTTTGGCCACACAAGACCAAAAAGAACCTAACTTGGTGAGTTTTGTCTTTTCATCTGCGTAACGAGCACTTAAGTGTACACGGGGATTTGTTTATTTATGTATTTTTGGGGTATTTCATGCATTGCCACAGCATAGACTGTGTGCGGGATTTTTGGGGGCTTTTGTTCTAGATTGAAACTAGCGGCTGCGCGTTAGTATCGCTCTGTAAGCGACCCTGGAATCTCCAAGTGTCTTCAGCCAGAACCGCTCCGTTTTCAAGAACGCGCGCTCGCTGGTTGAACCAGCGGGGGGGGGAACGGAGCGCCCCAAAGTGGGTAAGAGCAGGGAAAGACTAAGCGGGTTAGGCCCATTGTTCTGTACGAGAAAATGGGAAAATCAATCTAGAGATGCCACACCGAGGGGAAGGTTAACGTCCCCCGTTACAATGACAATGAGAAAACAGTTCGGACCTAAAAGCTATGGAGGCTCTATGTCTCCGAATCAACTACGCATTTTGCGTGATAATTTAGAAGAAGAAGGGAAGAAAAAATATACTTGGTTTTAAGAATATCACGGCAAAAGACGTTAGAGAAAGAAATATGTAAAAACAATAGCTCCTCCGCTTTTCACCGAAGCGGAGAACACACAGGCGGACACACACACACACACACACATCCCACACACCCCCACCCCCCCACCCTACCGCCCCTTTTTCCCCTACTAACAATAAGTGTGCACCCAAACAAGGCGTTGGGTTTAAAAAAAAAAAAAAAAATGAGCAGACTACTGTTGTCCCTTTTCCTCTCCCTGTCCAGGTCTGTCGGCGCTTTCCTCCGCGCTCTGTCCTCTGCCTCAAAGCACCAGCCCCACGCCCCAACCACAGGCGGCGCTCGCACCAGCTGAGACCCCGCGAGAAGTGGGCCCAAACCCGGGAGCAGAAGAAGACGTGGCGGAAGCAGATACATGCTCAGGAAACCGCAGAAGAAGAAGCGGGGGAAGCAGATATGTGAGACACCGACAACTGCCTTGGAGGCCAGAGACAAACTGCTCCAAATCCCGTGACTGTTCCCCACGGAGGCGACAGCGTGAAACACAAAACGCACCCGCGGAAAC